AGTTTAGAAACAGGTGATTAATAATATGAAGTAATTAGCTATTTTAAAAAAATACTTGTATGTATGGCATTGATAAGGGATCTCCTCAGGCAAAGAGCTCTTTATGAGTCTTTCTTCCTTTGATTGGCAGACTCTTACCTAAACTAGTTGATGCTGTAGCCCTTCAAGTAAAATTAAATAAAGCTACAGTATTATAAATTATCAGCTTACAGTTTTGTCCATAAGTATTTGAACGTCTACTGTGTGCAAGGCACAATTTGAGGTGCTGGGGATACAATGGCAAACAGAACAGATAAAAATCCTTGCTTTATGGAGCTTATAATTTAGTGGAAGGGGGCAGATAATACTCAAGTCAACAAATAGAATAGATAGCATGTCAGGTGACACTAAAGGCAATTGAAAAAAATCAAGTGGGGAAGAAGGAGAGGGAGTCCAGCCCTGGGACGGAAGCAGGGAGGATGAACTCTCACACTGGGTCATCAGGGTGGTCTTCCTGGAAAAGGGGCATCTGAGCAGAGACATGAAGGGGGTGGGAAAGAGAGCCAGGCAGTTGGCTGGGCCACCAGCGTTCCAGGCGGCAATCCGTTTTTAGCAATACAATATTAAAGGATGGGCGGGTTACTTTTGTACTGGCAGCCCGGCCCTGCATTCCTTGTCACTTTTAATTAGCCATGAGTATACCCAATCAGCTCATCAAAGACACGGTCCTGGGTCCCTCCCATCTGGCAGCCAGAATCAGATCCCCTAGTCGGTGCCAACGCTGCCACGCTGGGCCTCCCCCTGGGAGCAGAGAAGGCAGCCCCACCTCTTCTCTCGGGCCCACTGCCGGAGTGGTGAGAGTTGTAACCCTTACTTCCTTGCACTAAGCAGCCCCAGTCCCTCCCCACTGAGTCTAAAGGGGTATTAACGTTCACTGTTGTTGTCTCTGTACCTGGTGAGTCTGGATTCTCTGGGTGAGGGAGCTCTCATTTAGAAGCAAAAATCTCCCACTCTCAGAGTCACTTTTAGAACTAAGAATGTAAACTTTAACCAGATTTAAAGAGTATTAGAATTTTGTTGTTGATGTTAAGTCCTCAAAGCTGTCAGATTTAGAGTGAGGGTGTTAACAAAGAAGTATATCTAAATATGTGTTAATCGCTATGCATATATTTTTAAAATTATAATAGCATTTGTCATTTCTGATCATCTACTCATGTCTCAAATGATGACTTGCTGACTTTCTACCACACCTGTTGGCCACAGAGGAAATTTAAGGCCCAGTGACAAGGAGGACACTATGCTCCATGAGGGCAAGACTATGTCCATTTTTCTCATCCTCATATCCCCAGTGCCAACCTCAGTGCCTGGCACGTAGGAAACAATCAATTCTGATGGATAAATGAATGACTCCAAAGATAGCAGCTTTGGTACAGAGAGAGAAGACTTTTTAGCTAAAGTGGGAGGGGCAAGCATAGAGACCACCATGTCTGAAGCAGCAGACGTAAGATGGAAGCATGAGCTATGATGCCTCATATCTAACATCTGAAAGGATGGGAACCCCAGTGGAGTCTGAGTTCAAGGCATAAGATAGGGCAGGAAGGGGTGGGGATGAAGTGAGAGAAATTCACTTGGCACAGTGTTTGCCCCCTCCTCCTCCTCCCATAGATGTTGGATTACTTTAGTCAATTTATTTAACTTCTTGGAGACTCAGTTTTATCACCTGGAAAATGGGAAAAACAATACTGGCCTCACAAGATTGTTAACGAGAAACAAGTAGGAAAATGTACATAAAGTCCTTGGCACAGAAACTTCCACCATAAAAAAGTCATAGTACACCCTCATTTTCTCACTTAACATACACACTGAGAGGCAGCATACACTGTGGTTGGAAGCAGGGAGCTGGAATGCCTAGGTTTGAACCCACCTTTATTACTTAGAGCTGAGTGGTCTTAGGGAAATTACTTAATTCCTCTGTGCCACAATTTTCTCATTTGTGAAAAGTAGGACAATAATGCTTAAATCAGTTAGTAAATGTAAACCACTTAGAATCACATCTGGCACACAAGCATCATTATGGAATGTAGGCATTTTTCCTATTTGTTTCCCACTTTGATCCCTCTAGGGCTGGTAGAAGCAATGAGAGGATAGACAGGAGCAGACGGACATGTCGACATGATGCTGGAGGAGTTCGTGTTGACGGGCTGGATCTACGTCTCCCCTCAGTACTGCTTCTCAAACCCTAGTGTGCGTTGGTTTCACACTGAGGGCTTGTTAAAACACAGGCTGTGGGGGCCCTACCCTCAGAGCTTCCAGTTCAGTAGGTATGGGTGGCACTTGAGATTTTGTGTTTCTAACAAGTTCTCAGGTGATGCTAATGTTGCTGGTCCAGAGACCATACTCTGAGAACCACAGAGATGTAATAAGAAGGGATGTCAGAAGCTCCAAGAGAATGAAAAAGGAGGTATGCATAAAAAGATAGAAGTTCTGAAACAAGTCCAAATAGGACTGAATTATGGACACTGGTAGAAAGAATAATTTGTTCATTTATTCACTGAACAAACATTCACTCACCGCCCACTGTGAGCAGGGCCCTGTACCCACCAATCACTTTCAGGGACCAAGATTTAGCTGAGCAGAAACAACAGCAGGTTGGAGAGGACTACTGGCCAACAGAGTTAAAACGGAGCAGCGTTAAAGGAAGCGAAGCCATGGCCCCAGAGGCCTGACTCTACATCATCTCCCCATCTGGCCCAACTCAGGCATCAGTTTTTACAAACTGTGGTATTTATACATAACATAAAATTTACCATTTTAATTATTTTTAAGTGGGCAGTTCAGTGGCAAAGTACATTCATACTGCTGTGCGACTACAACCGCCATCCAGAACTTTTTTCATCTTCTCAAACTGAGACTCCATAGCTGTTCATCAATAATTTCCTTTCCCCACCCTTGCATACCCTGGTCACTGCCATTTTATTTTCTGTCTCTGTGAATTTGACTATTTTAGGGACCTCATATAAGTGAATACTAGTACGTGTCCTTTTGTGGCTGACTTCTTTCACTTATCATAATGTCTTCAAGGTTCATCCATGTTATAGCATGTGTCACAATTGCCTTCCTTTCTAGGAATGAATAATATTCCACTGTATGTACATACCACATTTTGTGTACACATTCATCTATCTCTGGACTATTTTGGCTATTGTGAATAATGCTGCAGTGAATGTGGGTGTACAAATACCTGTTCAAGTCCCTGCTTCTAACTCTTTTGGGACTATACCTCAAAGCATCATTTTAAAGCAGATAAATTGGGTTTGGGTGAAAATTAAAATCATGTTCCCTCATCCCACCCCCAACTTTTTCTTTTCTAAGAACTTTACCCCTCCTGACACCCAGATACCCAGATCTCTCAGCTGCCTGAATCTGATAAATCATCCACCTCTCTAGGTAAATTAGCACAACAAGGACAAAGGGGATATATTCTAATGCATTATGGGCTAAGTGCATGCATGAATCCTCCTTTCCCTACAAGGAAAAACTTACTGACGCACTATCCAAACTCACCTGTGCCTGGAGCTTATGCAGTCCCCTAAGGAAAAGTTTCTGGAATCAGACATGTGATAGGGGAACCTGGCCTTACTGTTTACTAACCGTTTAGGAAAATGATTGAATCTCTCTAGTTTCAATTTCCTGTTCTATAAAATAGAAATAAAAGTTCTTATCTACTTCATTGTTTTGAAAAACTAGATAAGGCAAGCTAATTAAATTAAGATAAACCGAGATAAGGGAAAGCACTTAACCTAGTGCCTGGTTTACAGTAAGTGCCAAAAACCCCCCACAAAAAACCCCAGAATATTGACTGCCAGTATTATTATCAGTAACTCCTTCAAATACGTGTCAAGAAAGTTCCTGCCATCTAGGTCCACAGAAGGAATTACAATGAACATGGTATTAGAAGATCTTCTAGGCCAGAAGCCCAGAATCCTAAAAAATGGACTTTTTTAAAAAAGCACAGGATTCAAAATTACAACCTGGCCACAAGGGATTAGAAAATATCTTTGGATGGGGAAGATATTGTGGGCCAGGGTTCTCTGTGAAGCCCGCAAATCGTATCAGACTCCCCAGCAGCTAGCTTCGGGTATAAGTAATATTCCCCTGAATTTTTCTTTTTCTTCTGAGTTTGCAAATGCCAGATAGAAATGGATTCTAGAACAATGGAAATTTGAGATGAGTAATGGTTACAGCAAATTTGGCCAGGCTCCCTCCTAGGATCGCCCCAGTCCTTCTGGGACATGTTCTGACAACTTGCCGGCCTCTTTTTAAACCTCTGAAAGGGGATGATGTTCCCGCCACTTCCCTTGGAAGGATATTCGACGGTGAAATATGATTCACTGTCAGGGCCCTTGCCTTTGAGATTTCCTTTCTTCTCTTGACCCACTTTCGTCGTGCTGTGCTCTTTTGTACAAAGTCAGACGAAGCCTCCCCCTGGAGGAGAGTGTTCTGTGAGGACTGACATTTAAAGACCATTACCACCTCTTAAACTCGGTCCTGTTCATTTAGCCCAGCAAAGCATAGTTAATTCTTTTAATCTTCCCCCATAAATCAATCCCTTCGTTCTCTTAATAGTCCTTCTCCTGTGCTTTGAACTCCCTCCAGTCTGGCCATCCTAAGCTCTTGTTGAGAATTGCCAATCATGAAATGGCTCTATAGGAAAAACAACCGGGCCTCACCCAGGTTCCAAGTGCCCATTCCGTGCTGGGCTGTGCTGCCTAAAAGTATGGTGAGCCCTGCCTGGTGGCCAACCCCTTAAATTATGTTTGAGGCATTTGCTACCTACTCCATCATGGGTCTTCCAAATAGGCCCAGCCCACCTGGTCAATGGTCAACAGAACTGCTCAAGAAGCTGCCTCAGACACTTGCACCTCTCATTTGACTCAGGCTTCTCAGTTTGTCCACCTTTCACTTGGCTTCTACCTACCAGGGCAATAAGGGCCACTGGATAAGCCCAGAAAGGATCTTACCTGAAAGGCCCCAGCATGGTCTTCTTCCTTATCACCCTCTCTGTTTTCTTTGAGAGCAATTAATGTGAATCCTCTGAAGTAGGAGGGAGGAGCAGCTGAAAGTGTCACTGTGGAGAGAAGAAAGCAGATTATAAGCACAAGAATCAACTGCCTTCTATTTGCCAAGTGGATAGACATGAATTCTCCATCAGCATCCCAGACCTGTGGGTTAGAGAGGCAATGGATGGTGGGAAAGACTCGTCCAGTTTAGTGAACTCTCACTCTCTCCACCCAGCTCTCTTTATGTTTCAGAACCTGCTAAATGACTGAACTGCTATCTCACTTGGGAATTCTTCAATTAACCAAGGCTGTGGTGAGTTCTCTCCCAGTAAACCACGATTTGATAAAAATAGTCCCTGGTGAGCAACTCTACTCTTGACAGTTATCTAATGATACACTTCCATTAGATCTGCCCAAGGGAAATCTAGCAGCCACAGCACAGACTGGCAGAGACTGCTGTGTGTTTTCCAAAACTCATTTCCTTTCTCTTATGGGCATTCAGCTGAACCACATTGCCAGCCTCCCTTGCAGTTAGGTGGAAAGCATGGGCAGACATGATGTATGCCACCTTTGACCTGGCCCATACAAGGTTTCCACATGACCCTCCTCTCTTCTCTCCTGCCTCTGCCTTCCAAATGCAGGGTATCCAGCCAAGAAGTCTGGTGTACTAGGAGAAGGAGCCGCAAGATGGAAGGAACCCGGGCTTCTGAAAAACCACAAAGAATCCTTCACTGACCAGAGACAACCATGCTGTACTTTGCATAAACTGGAAATCAACTTATATTATGGGGTTTTATTACAGAAATTGGGGTTATGAATTTGTATTACCCTCTCTCTTCCCACATTTACCCTGAGAATTGTTTTCATTGAAATCTAGTTTAAGTACCTTCTCAGCAATGATGGTCACTCTTCCCTGAGTATCCCCAATCTCCTAAGATGAAAATTTTTTATTGTAAACTTGCACTGAATTGCAATTCTCTTTTTACCTTTCTTCAGCACTGGACTGACAGTTAATGCTAGAGAGAAACTGGGTTTTAATTATCTTTGTATCCCTAGCACTTAGCACAGAACCTGGCATTTAATAGACACTCCATTCAAGTTCCTTGAAATTGACATAAGTTGAGGTTTAAATTACTTTACTGTGTGATCAAAGTACTAAAATTCTGGTCCTTACATGGAATTATAGACTACTAGAACCTCAAGCTACCCCAGGTATCCCCCATTCCAACCTTCCAACTTCACAGATAGGAAACAAAGATGCAGAAAGGTCATCAGACACCCCCAAGGCAGTAAGACTACCCAGAAGCAGGCTTAGGGCCAAACTGTCTCCCAGGTTTAGCACCCCACCCAGGTTGCACATACTGAGTATATTCGTCACAGTATGGGTATACCACAAGTGTTGATTATATTTAAAATTTTTTGAAATAGTGCGGTTCCATATTATAGCAGTTAGCACATCTTCATTACACACAGATGGTCCTGGGTTTGTGCCCCACTGGAGCTATGGTGTGGTAATGTTTGTAGGAGACTTCTGGTCAAGATGGCCACCTAGGTAGATGTGGTACCTGTGGTAGGAGATGTGAATTCTCCCACAACCACATGAAAATTACAACTAAACTACAGAACAGCCATCATTCATAACTGCTTAAAATCTAGCAGAATGGAAGTCTTACAAATAGGGATTTAAAGAAAAAGCCACATGGAGACTGGTAGGAGAGGCAGAGGGATATCTTAGCTGTGGAGGCCCCTCCTGAAGAATGAGGGGTCCCAGTCCCACAAGAGGCTCCCATGGCCTAGGGTTCCAGTGCCAGAAAGAGAAGTCCCTGTAAATTCTGGCTATAAAAACCAGTGAGGATTGAGGCTGAGGGAGATGGAAGGCTTCTGGAGTCCCAGGCAGTTCTTCTTAAAGGGCCCATGAACAGATTTACTCAGACTCACTCCCTCTGAGCTGCAGTGCTGGGACAACAGCTTGAAAGAATCCAGAGACATATGGGTAGGAACTAAATTTCCCAGTATCAGGGAGAGAAATGAGGGGTAGCTTTCTGCCAGACAAAAGTGCTGGGAGAGGCCATTGTTTCTTTTCTGAGACCCACCACCTTCACAAAGAGCTGGCAGGTGGACCCCATATCTGAGTCTCCATCAACATGGCTAACACTACTTGCTCAGCCCTGGTGATTCCCTGAGACCCTGTTCCACCCAACTTGTGGGTACACCCAAACTGTTTCCAGTGGCTTATCACTACAAATGGCCTGTCCTGGCTCATGCTTCAGACTTTCCTAATATCTTTCAGACAAGCAGCATCTGGCCTCAGAATGCCCTATATCTCTTGCTAAGTGGCCCCAAGCTCAGCACTAGCAGTAGCCAGCTTTGATTTACAGCCTGGACTCACTTGGGCACCTCAAAGCCTAGCACAAGTAGCAGCCATCTGCAGATCTCTTTGTAGTGAATGCTGGTTGGCCCTGGGCAGAACACAGGCAGCCACTGACCTTGGCCTGAACTTCCCAGGAGGCCTCAGAGCCAGTGCACCCAGTGGACATCTTCAGACCATGTCCACGCACTACCCAAATACCTTCACAAGTAACACACTCAAGTTGGGGAATGAGTGGGCACTAGAGCTCTACCTAAGTAAGTCCTGCTTTGTGGAGTAGACGCTGCACAGCTGCTCCTCTACGGTGGTTGTAGGCAGTCCTTGCAGCCAATCATCCTGAAGGTAAATCCCTCCAACTGAAGTGCCAACAGCAATCATGGCTCAACTGTAATAGGAGAGTGTACACAGCCCACAAAGTGGGGGTACCTTGAGTGCCCAGCTCGGGTGATTGGGGAGACTATGCCACTGGACCCTACAGAGCACCTGCTACATAAGTCCACTCTACCAAGCCCAGGATACATAGCAGCTCTACCTAATATATAGAAACAAACACAGAAAGACTGCCACAATGAGGAGTCAAAGAAACATGTCCCAAATGAAAGAACAGAACAAAACCCCAGAAAAAGAATTAAACAAAACGGAGACAAGCAATCTACCAGATGCATAGTTCAAATCACTGGTTATCACAATGCTTAATAAACTTACTAAGAACTTCAACAAGAGGCAGTAAGCATAAAAAAGGACATCAAAACCATAACAAAGAACCAGTCAAAAATGAAGGAAACACTAACTGAAATGAAGAACTACTTACAGGGAGTGAACATAGAGTAGAAGAAACCAAGAACCAAATCAGAAACTTGGAAAATAAAGAAGAAAAAACATCCAGTCAGAACAGTAGAAAGACAGAAGAATACAGAAAAATGAAGACAGTGTAAGGAGTCTCTGAGACAACTTCAGGCATACCAACATTTGCATCATGGGGGTACCAGGAGACGAGAGAGAGCAAGAAATTGAAAACCTGTTTGAAAAAAATGACAGAAAACTTCCCTAACCTGGTGAAGGAAATAGGCATACAAGTTGAGGAAGCACAGAATCCCAAACAAGATGAACCCAAAGAGGCCTATACCAAGACACATCATAATTAAAATGCAAACTGTTAAAGACAAAGAAAGATTCTTAAAAGCAGCAAGAGAAAAGCAGTTAGTTACCTACAAGGGAGCTCCAATAAGACTGTCAGCTGACTTCTCAACAGAAACTCTGCAGGCCAGAAGGATTGGCAAGAAATATGCAAAGTGATAAAAAAACCAAGGATGTACAACCAAGATTACTCTACCCAGTAAAGCTATTATTTAGAATCAAAGGACATATACAGAACTTCCTAGACAAGAAAAAGCTAAAGGAGCTAGTATTACCTGAAATGTTAAAGGTTCTTCTTTAAGAAGAACAAGAAGAAGAAAAAAATGTCAAAAAAATGAACAATAAAATGGCAACAAATATATGTTTATCAACAATTGAGTCTAAACAACAAAATAAATGAACAAGCAGAAGAGAAACAGACTCATAGATAGAACAATGTGACGGTTTTCAGAAGACATGGCGTTTGGAGGATGGGTGAAAAAAGATTTATCAAAATGACCACTTAGTAAGTCATATGATGTCTAATCACTGGGGTGTACACTTAAAACTAATATAATTTTGTATGTCAACTGTAATTGAAAAATTAAAAATTTTTTTTTAATTTTAAATAAGTTCATTTAACATAATATTTATACAATTCTGACAAGCAAACCTCTGTTGGGGAGGAGCACTTAGTCTTCCAGTTCTGAAAACGAAGGACCCTGAAACTCCGAAAACTAAAACCATCATCTTGGATAAATTAGCAGTGGTCCAGGAGCCACCAACACTTCTCAGAGAACTTTGAGACACAAAGATTGCAAATCTCCTGCTGTGATTGGTCAGTTCATCCCGTAAAACTAAAGGAGCATTATTATTGGCTATTGATGTCTATAAAAGGTCAAATAGAAAGTAAAGAAGGAAGCATGAGGGAGAATAAGTGCTATAAAAGTGCAGTAGGAAAATCATGGTGCTCAGCGGCAAGGAGAAAATTATGGTTATGATATCAGAAGAGCTGATACCTCTGAGGCACAGACAGATAGCCCCAAAGCAGTCAGACGCTATCTAGGCTGGAGTGGGGTGGCTTTTAAGGTCCTACTTCTGGAGGTGGGGGGGCAGACAATAGAGGTGCTCTTTCCAGACCCCCTCAAATTCCTTTTTATCATTTTAAAGTGACCCTGAGGGTGATGCATCTTTGCTTCTAGCAGCCAGCACCTGTGGCCCTCATGTTACTGGAGTCTGCTCTACCGAACATGAAAGTCCCGGTTGCCTGCATCAGGTGAGGACAACTCTGATGGGTACCTGCCACTTCAAAATGGTTTCAGAATCAGACTTAAACTCTTCTTAGGGACCTCCCATGGGGTCACAGGCTGTCAGGGACTTTCCCCTTGTCTGTCTTGCTTCTCTACTCTTACTGGTTTCCCCTGGGATCACTTCCTAATAAATCATTGCAACCCAAATCCTCACTTGAGGGTTTGTGTTATGGGTTAAGCTGTGTCCTCCAAAAATGTATGTTGCAATCCTACCCCCTATGCCTGGAAATGTGACCTTATTTGGAAATAGTGTCTTTGCAGGCATAATCAGTTA